GCTAGTAATATATGACTGTTTAAAGTCTTTTCTGCGCCTTTGAAATTAGTCTCGTGCTTCTATTTTGCTTTGTTTTGTATTTGTACTAACAATTTTTTTTCAACCTCTATTTCACTTTTTTTTTGTTTGTTTGTGTTTTTGTGTATTAATGGTACCTCTGGACATTGACAGATGGATCTGGATGTGCCAGATGTTTGTTTTTGTATACCTGTTGATTTGGAGCTTGAAGATGCAGTCAGACGTGTCCTTAATGTGGATGACAGGCCTGGATTTGTTGCCCTATTGAAATCCATATATGGATTTCTAGAGATTATTGAAGCTCCATATTGTGTACAGGATATTTTTTATTGGATTTGTATGTATGGCGCAGTAGACTGCGCCAAAGCTTTACTTGAAGGAGAAATTTTCGTTGTAGATCCTAGTGTTCTTTTTAAATATGGATTATATCCATTGCATATTGTGGGTGAAGATTTCTCGTATGATATGGTTGACTTATTACTTTGCCACGGGGCTTGGACTGATGTTAGAACCATAGAAGGTGAATACGTGGGTGACTTGCTGCCTCTTAATATAGCACTTGAAATGTTAAGATAGATGATGAATTGCTGCAATTTTATTTGAGTTGTTTGGTAGAGCCAATAAATAAGCCATTTGATCTACACACTATTTCTTCTTCTTTTTTTGATTCTTGCTTGACTGTACTTTTTGTTTGGCTGGAACAGTTATCATAGATACCTGTCTGATTGGACTCCGAAGCAGTTTATTTTCCAGTTGATTGTTATTCTTTCCCTGCTGCAAATGGTTTGTTTTGGCTACAAATTTAATTTGTCTTGAAAGAATATTTTAGCTAATATATGCATGTAATTAGGAGCATGTGACCGATTTTTGATGGTTGCTTATTATATTTAAATAATGCTTGTGCAGAAAGTACCATTAGGAACGAATAGGTTGCTTGCATGGGACACAAAGGATGTCAATAATATATTTAACCATTACGCTATGGAGGGAAAAACTTATTGCAATGGTTGCTCTGCTGATGGTGGCTCGATTAAAGATTATGGTTCCCAGCACGCTGCAGAGCAATGATAGTTCTTGTTTAGGAGGCATATTATCCACCAATGGATCCTTGAAGAGATTGCATTACTAACCAATTAGGAGGTCGAATTAATGTGCAGAGGTAAAAATTGTAATTGGAGGCTTATGAATAAGAAGGCAGTGATGACAAATGCGTTGCTGTTGGGGCTGGTGATGTTACTGAAACATATAGGCAGTCTGTACGATATCATGTAAGCTGTTCAAATGCTTGGTTTTTATTTTTTTTTATTAATATTATTTTAAAAAAATAAAATAAAATTTGCGATTGTTTCTTAGGGTGCACTTCCACCCACATTATGGTTGAACCAGCTGGATGTTTAGTACCAATTTCGAATGTTGGTTTATTATTGAAAGTGGTTACTTTTCCAGTACGCTCAAGTATTCTTCGGTCACCGGAGAACAAACCGGCCGCGTAAACATCCATATCTGATATCAGATCAAAGTGCTTTAAGCCCTTTGCAGAGAGAACGGTTATATCTAGAACACGATACTCCATGTTGTAATGATTTGTGATTATTGTGTGTGTGTGTGTTTACTTATAACATTATAAATAGGTAGAGTGATTTGTATTTATAAAGAGAGAGTAACTTGGGGCAGAAGTACATTAGGGTTTCTAGAACTTTCTACATCGGTGTGGATTTGTTTTTGGAAACTTGCTTTCCAAGATCCCTCACTTTTGGATAAATTATATCAAAAACTTTTATCTCACTATTAGAATTTAACAATTCTAGTCAAATTAAATTAATAATTGGGAGATTAAATACATGCACTGCACCCGCAGCCGAACCCCAAAAAAAAAAAAATATTGGGGTGGGGGGGGTGGAATTATGATAATTTTTAGGAATTTTAGTGGGGCAATAGAAATTTTTACAAGTATATATATCAAAATGAAAAAAAATATCAAGGCATACTGGTAATAAAAGAAATCTCTTAGATTCGTGTTTGACTGCAGCCAGCTCGGTTTTGAGATTCTCAAAATTTTGAGAGGCCCTAAGCGAATTTTCAAATGCCAGGCCTCTATATATAAGGTTTCATCTATGGATGACAAAAATTCCCACTTGCCCTTCTTAGACCACCCCTTTTGGGGGCGATTTTGGGGAACCAATTATGTAAAATGGGGACGGGGGATGGGATTGCTTTGAAAATCCCATTGGGTTTTGGGGAATGGTTGTCCCGCTTTACCCCGTCCCGAATATATTATAAATTTATTATTTACATATATACTATAATATATATCTAAAATAGGTTAAGATTATATTAAGGGATGGCAAAAATCCTTATCCTGGCATGGCTTCACTCCATTTGGGGTAGTTTTGGAAAACCGATTATGTAAATAGGGACGGGATGAGGCTGCTTTGAAAAATCCGGCGGGTTTTGAATCGGTTATGGGGGTGAAAAAATTAAATGGTAATAGGAATGGAGAATGAGATCCCCGCCCCAAACCGACCCATTGCTATCCCCAGTTTCACCGGCGTAAAAAAATTATAATAGTGCAAAATTTTCATTAAAATGAGCGATTGAAATAATTTGGGGCCTAAGGCAAATATATATATATATATATATATATATATAAGTGTGCAATTTTCATTAAAATGAACGATAAGCACCAAGGGCGGCTCATAATAATTTAGGGCCTTAAACGAAAATTAAAAATTGGCCTTTTAATAATATATTAATATTAAATAATATTTATTTAAAAATAATCATTCTTACTTTGTGAAATACAAAATTACTAATTAGATTCTTGTATTTAATTTTGGTTAAAATATACAAATATATGAAATATATATATAAATAAATTTATAATAACAAAAGTTAATAAAACTAAAATATAATTAAAAAAAAAAAAGAACAATAGAACTGGATTTAGAAAGCCCCAATCCAATGCTCCTACAAATTCTTCAATAGAATAAAAATGAGTTCAAATTGATAGTAACAAGTATTGAGTGGAGAAGAAAGAGAACTATAAATTTATAATGAGAGAGGAGAAGAAAGAGAAATATATTTTTGTAAGGAATTTTAAAATTTTGAGACCTTCCAAATGGGAGGCCCTAGGTGACCGCGTAGATCGCCCTAGGCCGGCCCTGATTGCACCTTTAATTAGTTATTTATTTTTTCGTTTAAGAAACATATTTACACACTCTTTTTGTCTTTATGCGATTTGAACCTACCACTAAAATATAACCTTGGGTGTACACCTTTATATGAATTCACCTTTTTTTTTTTTTTTTTTCCTTCCATAAATTGAATAATGTAAATGCGCACACCCTTATACTTTATTCTCAATAATTGAATCAAGGATGATAGTGTCATTTCTTAAAAAAAAGTGGAGTGCATTTACTACCTCAATACCTATTTTTTAACACATTCACACACAAATTTTGATGACGTGTGTCAGGTAAAAAATCTCACACACACACAACTTTTGCTCATACACCCTCGATTTTAAAAACTCTTATTTTAGAGGGTGAAAAAGTACCACTATATATTAATAACAAAAATTCTATTTAAAGTAGGAAAATTAATTGACAAAATGTAATTATTTTAAGAGCAAATTGTAATTAATGAATCTTTGGGTAAGGTTGTTTTTTTTTAAGGTAAAAGGCGATTGTATAAATAGAAATATGTACAGTACAAAAGTTAGCCTGAGAAAGGCCTGGAGAAAAGAGATACAATGCGACAACCCAAATAAAGAGTAAGACCCAGCAGACCAGCCCCCTAAGAGGCCCAATTAAGACACAGTTACTCCAACAGTAAGAAAACATGACAGTTAATCCCACAATCCGGTAAAGCAGCCATTGAATAGCAACAAGGTGGAGCAGTGATGATATTCTTCACCAAATAGATCCTAATCCGGTGGTCGCGGTGGCGGCCGGAGGATGGAGAAAGGAATGTCCCATTCACATACAATCCACCTATGAATTGGGGAATCAATAGGAGGTTTAACCATCAATTTGAATTGTATAAATTCAAGAACTTTTTAAAGAAGGGAATTCGCTGAGATTATTTTCTTCTTTAAGATTTTTATTTATTTATTTGTTTGTTTCGTACTAAAAGAACTTGTGAGCAATCTGAAATTAACAAATGATCACCTTTTTGCCAAATTGTGCTAAGAAACAACCGAAAAAATCAGCCATATCATATATTTATGTATTTAGGAGAATTATATACCCTTAGATGATTGTCAAATAAATTTTAAAGCTTGTTTCTCATTATCAATTAATATACTTGAATATGGATTCAAATCAATTGTTGTCGGACTACCTTTTTTATTCATCATCATTAGGATTAATATCATTCTGGCACCACAACTTGTTGGAAGATCATGTTCACACAAGAACAATGGAATCTCTCTCAATGGATCATGAACACTTGGCTATTGTTTCCTCATTCTCTAATTACATTAATAAAGAAAATTGAAAGAGTAAAACTGAATAAAGAAAAAAAGATTGAACAGAAATAATGTAACATTCAAATCAAACCCTAAATAATATTTACAATTAGCAATCCACATGGTGTAGATTTTAAATTAGGAATTATTACATATAGATGGTGCTAATGATTTATATTTATTATTTAATGGAGTCAAAGTCGATCTCATAGTTTCAAAAAAATGAAATTGACCAAAATGCTGACGTGAACATAAAAAAACATTGTTTACCCTCAGACTACTTTTGTGCATTAGGTATCACTTTTGTTTTAAACATAGAGGTACCACTTTTATTTATATAGGTACCACTTTTGTGCATCAGGTACTTTTTTCGGTAACACAAAAAGTGATACCTGCTACATGCCTATATGCCTAAAAGTAATACTTCAACAAGGGTAAATATTATTTTTTCATGTTTTTATTTTTTCAAAACTACCAGAGTTTGATTCCATCAAATGATAAATATAGATCATTATTACACCAAACAGAAGGAATGCCTGTGCTTCTTCTGCATCCGTTCAACTCCATACTTTATCGCATCTGTCTCTGCAGCAAACACATACAACTGCGGTGGACGATGTGGCGGTGCCACCCCTGGAGGTGGCTGCGCACACCAATACATGGCGAAGTCATAAAATTTCTCCGGCGGCGGGGCAACAAACTTTTCATCGAACCTGTAACAAAATTTCAGCTTAGCGTCTGTAGTCTTTCCGGTGGGATCACGCACCTTGTGCTCCATGAAACGTTCTCCGGCGCGGCCTGCTTTTTCAAGAAGCTCGTGGAGGCGGATGGTGACGTAGCCAATGTCTCGGTCACCAAGAACTTTGCGCTTGGACCGGAGATTGAGCCTGACAAAGTGGTCGGTGGGCGTGGCCAGGTCGGATTCAGCCACCGAAAACTTCATGCGGTGGTTCCATTCGGGGCTCTTTCCGCTGCCACGGCTGTTGGTGGGAGTCCTCTGTTCAGTTCTCTGGTCACCGGAGATCAACCCCGTCACGTAAACGTCCATGTCAGATATAGTATTAACTTTTGTTAGGCCTTTCGCAGATAAAACGGTGATAGCTAGAACACGATAATCCATGTTGTAGAATCAAAATCCTCTTCAGTAGATATTTTCTGCTCTGAAAAAAGTAATAACTGAAAAAGTGTGTTTATACTTTATAATATTTAGAGAGATCGAGTAGTTTGTATAGAAAGAGACAGTAACAACTCACGGATAATTTATAGTCAACACTTTCGTAATGCTGTTTGCGCAGGATTTGGATTACTTTCCAAATACTACTTCATGTCCAATTTTCACTTTGGATAAAATTTCTTATCCACTTGAGATAAAATAAAATAAAATAATAAAAAAAAACCAAACACGGGTTGTTTTATTTAAAAATAAATAAATTAAATGACATAAATTTCTTTATATATATAAATATATATTGTAGACAATAGTGGTTCTTAGAGCACCCATTGTTCACGATCCGGGAGTAAAATTCTCTTCCAATCAGAAAATAGTTATTTTTTTTAATAAGGTTGTAACTTCTATTAATCAACCTGTATATAATTTGTTTAACAAATTAATTACTTAAGTTAATAAATGTCTAATTTAAGCAAAAAAAATTCAGTTTACTAGTTGTTATTTGATTATGATAGAAAACCCGAATTATTATTGGGTATCTTTCGCCGAACCTGCCAACTGTAACGGATAGACATTTATCCATTTACCTAAAACCTTAAATTGTTGAGTATTTATACTCATCTTTAACCTCACAAACTATTGAGCATGTATATACATACACATATATATATATACATATACATATATATGCTTTTGTTGGATATTCTCTTTGCTGATTTGATGATATTAATACAATCATACCTATATCTATATGCGTATATATATGTATGATTTGATATTTGAGTTTTTTGATCAATTGCAGTACTTAAGGAAACCACCATGATATGTTTCAGGAATTTTTTTTCCCCAATTTTCCTTTTATTTTCTGCACTTCATTATTCATTTTTCGTTCGAAATCAGTGTGATTGAATAGAGTTTTTTTTTTTCGTAATTGGTACTCACACACATATCTCTTCTGAGACCCCTCATCTCCCTTTGCGAGGCAAGAGACTGATACCGCATGCCACTGTGGAACTCTCACACTTTAAAAATGTCATGGAATTCACACACTTTAAAAATGCCTTAATGAACTTGACCAAGTAAGATTCGGTGATAATTATGAAATAACCATTCGTTTCCACTCTAAATTTAGTATCAGTTTAACCAACATTAAGAAAAAAAATAAATAAAAAAGAAAAAGAAAAAGAAAGAGTTATTATAAAAGACACATTGTTTAATTATATATATATATATGAATTAATGGGCAGAGATAACTATCAGCAAGAACAAGGTCCTTTCTTAAATAGTCAAGGAGGAAATTAAGTGTTGTTGTTAATTACCGAAAAAAAAATTTAAGTTTTGTTGTTCTTTGGATTGCATCTATTATTAGAGTAAGAAATAAAATCAAGAGAGTAAAATTGAAGAAAGAAGAAAAGAAATAACGAAAAAAACACAATGAAGAGAAATTGTTTAACATTGAAATCATGCCCTAATTACAATTAACAATCCATAACAAGTTCCAAGAGCCAGCGACACCAAACCCACCATCGATCATAGGAATTCATACCAATAAACCCAACGCATATTCTTGCATTGGATGATATGGCAGCGCCACCCCTAGAGGCAGCTTACAGCCCATGCCCGGCAGATAAAAAATTTCTGCCGCCGCCGCCGCCGGCAGTACAATGAACTTAACATCAAACTTGTAAGAAAATTTCAGGGTAGCGTCAGTAATCTTTCCGTCTGGATCACAGACGTTGAACTCGACGGCGTGTACTCCGGGAGCGGTTTTGAGAAGTTCCCGGAGGCTTATGACGATGTAGCCGATGACTCGTCGTTCACCAAGAATGCGTTCGGATCGGAGCTGGAAGCAGACACAAGGGTCCTCACGAGGGTTGGCCAGATCTGCCTCTGCCAAATAGAACTCCATGCGGTGGTTCCACTCGAGACTGCTGTTGGCGCCACGCCTGGCGCTGGGAGTCTTACACTCAAGTATTCTTGGGTCACCGGAGAACAAAACGGCCGCGTAAACATCCATTCATATCTGAGATGAGATCAAAGTGCTTTAAGCCCTCTGCAGAGAGAACGGTTATATCTAGAGCACGATACTCCATCTCCGGTAGTGATTTTCTATCAATTGTCAGTTGTGTATGCGTGTGTTTATTTATAAGATCATATGTAGAGAGAGTGGTTTGTATTTATAAAGAAAGAGTAACTTGGGCGAGGTACATTTGGGTTTCTAGTACTTTCTATAGCGGTGTGGATTTGTATTAGGAAACTTCCTGTTCAAGATTAACTTTTGGATAAATTATCTCAATCGGCACTTTTATCTCACTAAATAGAATTTAACTATTCTAATCAAATTTAATTATAGCTAGCTGGGAGATATATTTACGCACTCTTTTTATCTTTAGGCAATTTTAACTTATCATTAAATTATAATCTTGGATTTGAACTTATCATTAAACAACAATCTTTGAGTTACCGCAATACATACATATATATATTTTTACACACTCACACGTAACTTTTGATGAGGCAAGATGGGTAGCCCAATTAATTGACACTTTCCTGAGTTGTGTGGAGCTCAGGTTTGATTCACCCCATCATCCCTTTTCTTGCCGTGCGCACACACAACTTTCGGGCATACACCCTCGATTTTTGGGTCAAATATCTAAGATTTTCACTTTTTGATAAAGAGGATTGATATTCTGTCCGTTCAAATTGGCTTAGTCGTAGTTCGAATCATACATATAACTGTCACATAATTGTTTTGACAACCCCTCTTTATCTCTCTGATTTCTCCACAGTGGTATGTTCGTTCTACTATTTCCTTCATTATTTCTCTCTCTAACTCACGGTTCTCTCTTTTCCATTTTGCAAAATTGAAGGGAAAACAAAGCATTGAAAAGCCTCTATTAGTTCAAAAAATCAAAGGGAAAAATACATATCAATGTATATGTTTGCTTGAAGAGAAAAAAACAAACCCTAATCAGATTAAAAAAAAAAAGAACCTTCAAAAGTTCATTACAAAGTGGATGCGATCTCTATTTAATCTTCATTTTTGACGCTCCACCAGGCCCTTCATCAACTCCTCACCTAGTACGCCTCCCAAAGGATCTTTTCCCAAAGGTTGTTAAGTCCTACCCTCTCCTCTGACACCATGTTCATCATCCAACTTCTTGTTATGTTCATATATATATATTTTTTTCAATATATATTTTAGCTTCTATATATTGCATAAGTTTTGGGGATTTGGTTAGGAAAAAAAAAACCCTTCAAAAGTTCATTACGAAGTGGATGCGCTTTCCCTTTAATCTTCAATTTGATGCCTCCACCAAACCCATCATCAACTCTTTACCGAGTACAGCCTCCCAAAAGATCTTCTCCCCAACGCTGTCGAGTCCTACCCTCCCCTCTTACATTTGAACAATAATTTTTTATAACTTTGTATTGGTATTGGTTGAAGATTTTTGAATGAGAATAATGTTTTGTTTCTTCTAACTTTGTATGTCTTTTTGTGGTTGATTAAATAATAGGCATATTGATTTAAGTTTTGTTTAAAAGTATATCGTTATTTAAAAAATAAAAAGATTTTTTAATTTTAAACTACAACCATGAGGTTACTGTACAACTTTGTATGAATACATTTTTTCTTTTCTTTTTTTTTTTTTCCCTCATAAATTGAATAATGTAAATGCTCGCCCTAGCTTATACTTCATTCTCAATAATTGAATCAAGTATGATAGCTTCATATATAGAGAGAGTGACAACTGAGTTAATTTCTGGTCATCATTCTCACGTTGGTGTTTGCGTAGTATTTGGATTACTTTCCAAATACTACATGAAGTGTCCAGTTTTCACGCTGGATAAAATTTCTTATCCACTTGAGATTAAATAAACGCACTTCGTTTTTCGTTTTAATTTTATTAAAATAAATGACATAAACTTTATTAAAATAAATGTCACAGACTATGGTGGCTCTTAGAGCACCCATTGTCTACCACCCGTAGTAAAAATTCTATCAGATGGTTCTAAAAAAATTCGAATTTCTGACTAGTATAATGTGGAGTAATTCTTTCTACATGCTATCTCATTGAAGTTAAATCTTTAAGAACGAGAATATCATTTCACATTTAGAGTGAAGTGAATTTAATTTAAGGTACGAATATTAATTCACCTAATGCTTGTGTAACTATTATAATGCTTATAAGTAGTAAACTAGCGCCTAGAATTTGGAATCGGATGAAATTTAGTACAAAGTTTGAATTAGATTTCTTCTAATCCCAAATCCAAATAGTGAATTCGGTGCTACCAACGTACCATAAGGATAAATGGCAAGAATAAATCACTCACTGCCAACTTAGTACTTCATCTCACCTTGGAAACAATCAGAGCCAAACTCTTGTCTTCTATTTTAGAGCCTCTCAGTGATAGAAGAATTGCACTTGAATGGGAAATTCCGGAATCAGTGATCTGTCCACCAGAGAAACCACCGGAGTGCAATTGTTGACCAGTAACGGTCATGTGAACTTGTTTGCTTGGATTAGGCTTGGGCTTCTAATGCTGTCTTGTTTGTGCCTATTCGGCTTCATCTTTTGTAGTTAGCATTGGCCTTACTTCTTATGGGCTGTACTATGTTTCTTATATTTATACAATTGAATTTTAACTTTCAAAAAAATAAAATAAATAAATGGCAATGAATATCCGTATAACAATAGATTGAGATTTACAATTAATATTTTTTTGGAACCAATATAACTTGGGAACAAATTCAGATTAAGAAAAATTATTATAAAAAAGATATTTAGATAATAAATCATCAGATGATCTCTTAGAGCACCCATTGTCTACCATCCGTAGTAAAAATTTAGAGAAGGTATTTAGGTAATAAATCATTAAATGATCACTTAATAACTACTTATCTTCTCTAAACTATTTTTTTTTTTTTTTTTAAGTTCTTCTCTTCCCTAAAGTTCATGGTCACTTTAAACTATATATAAAATATAAATTTTCCAATGTTTTAAAAAAAAATCAAGTATTTGATTAAAAAATTAGCCAATGGATTGGAATTCCACCCAACCTCTCATTTGGAGAGGTGCATTTGTACCAACTGGACTATTGCTCAAATGACCTTCAATGTTCATTGAAGTACTTCGTACTTGGTTTTCTTTCTTTCTTTCTTCTTCTTCTTCTTTTTTTTTTTTTTTTTTTTTTTTTTTTTTTTTTTTTTGAACTAAAAGTCCCTTTCGTTGTAACAGCCATAGTTATGCCCTATGTTTTTTTTTTATTTAATCAAATTTTTGAAGGGTTAAAAAAAATAAAAGAATTCTTATATACTTCAAGTTCTATTAATTGAATTTCACCTCCATCTCTCTAATTAGGGTTATCAAAGCAAAAGAGAGAAAAACAAAATAGTGACACTGAACAGAGATAATATACCCCATTTAATAGTTACAATTAAAAATCCGCACAGCGTCGTTTTTAAATTACAGTCAAATCAATCCCTAATTAATACAATATTTATCAATAATCAAATCAACTAATTAACTAAAAAAATTACTATAAACAAAACGAATAAATCTTATATTTCAATTTGGATTCAAGTAGATAGGTGAAATTAAAAAAAAAAAAAAACCTTTTCCAAAATTCACAAAACTAGCTATACAATTTGATAGAGAACTCATTGTGATGAAAGTAGACGAATGATTCAAATATGGAATAAACAACAAATGCACGTAACTAGATAGAGTGATTAGGGTTTTTAGCACAAAATAATCCCAAAAGGTACTTGTAAAATTCGAAAAATTAAGTAAATCACATGAATCTGCCACACATAGAACAAAGTGGACGAGATGGCGGCGCACAGCCCTTGCCTTGCGGCGGTGGTGCCCTTACAATGAAGTACTGTTCATCAAACCTATAAGACAATTTCAGCGTAGCGTCTGTAGTGTTTCCGCTGTGATCATAGACCTTGAGCTGCACGACGCGTTCTCCAGCGGCGCCTTTGAGGAGCTCCTGGAGGCTGATGAAGACATAGCCGATGACCCGCTGGTCCCGCTCACCAAGAATGCGCTCGGACTAGAGCTGGAAAAGGGCATATTTGTCCATGTCGTTCTTAGCCACGGGGAATTTCATGCGCTGGTTCCATTCGAGGCTGCTTCCGACACGCCTGCCGCTTTGAGTAATCTTCTGAGTTCCCCGGTCGCCGGAGATCCAACACGAAACATAAAGATCGATATCAGAGATGAAATCAATGTGCTTGAGGCCTTCTGCAGAGATAACGGTGATATCTAGAACACGATGCTCCATGTTTCCGTAACAACTCTCTAAGATGTAAAAAAGTAAAAACTGAAAGACGATGAGTGTGTATATGTGTGTTTATAGAGAGAGTCGTTTGTATATATAGAGAGAGAAACTGGTATTAGTATCGGATTTAGATTGGGAAACTTGCGTGATAAGTAACTGTAATCACTTTCAAATTGGAAAATCTGCATCAGAAGCAAATTAGTTTCCAAATAGGAAAATCTTGGTCGGAAATAAGCTTTAATCTTATTAAATTATTAAGTCTCAATACTCATTAAAATTTAATAATTTTAGTAAAATTTAATAATTTTAGTGAGATTAAATAAATGCACTTCAAGTTTTTGTTATTTTTAAAAAAAAAAATAAATGACGTAAATGTCCATTATGCTTCATTATCAAACATTGAATTGAGGACGATAATATTATTTCACATGAGTTCAATTTTTTTTGTAAGAACATTAAAGTGTGGTGCTCCCAAAGAAAATTCTATATAAAATTGGAATATTAATATATTGCATGTATAATTATTATAATGGTAAATTGCACTGAATCTTTTTGTAAAAATATATTTTACAATTAATTCATGGATTAAACTTGTTTTTGTACCAAAATAACTTTTGAACAATTTGAAATTAACAATTGCCCACTTTTTAGTGGTGGCCACAGATCGGATCAGATTAGGCATTAAATCTAATCCAATCCAATCCCTACGAATTGGTGAAAATTGAACCC